CCCACGTGGGGCTCAAACTCACAAACCACGAGATCATGACCTGAGCCGAAGTTGGACACTTAACCAACTGAACCACCCAGGTGGCCCTTCTTTTTTTTTTTTAAAGTAAATTTTCTTTCGTGCCTTTCAATGCTTTTTTTCTCTCTGACCCATAACATTTCTAGGATAACATAAAAAATCTAGAGTTGGAAGTCATCAATCTGCAGAAGGAAAAAGAAGAATTGGTTCTTGAACTTCAGACAACAAAGAAGGATGTCAACCAAGCCAAGTAAGAATAAATCCAATAAATATTATTTCAAGTCCCTACTGTGTGTGAGGAAGTTATAAATGAAATAGAGAAGTAAAAGAGCCATTTCCTGCCCCCACAGGATTTATACCTAATTGTGGAAAGAAGATCTAAACAAAAGTAATTGAGATTTTCAACAATACCTCATGATGATAGTGAAAGAATGCCGTAACAGCATATGATTAGTAGATTAGTAGCTAAATGAATTTCTTAGGCAGTAATTGCTTTAAGAGTTCAGAGGTAGGGGATATCAGTTTAGACTGGCATGATCAAGGAAGACCTTATAAGAAGTTAGCATTTGAGCTGGATTTTGAAAGATTATCAGACCTACCACACAGCTACAGTTTCTTTGTCCCTGTACAGACTGTAAATTAGCTTGTGAATAGAATTAATGTCCAGGCTAGTAAATGAAAAACCAATCTAGCCATCCCTCAGTTAAGAATAAAACTAAGGAGGGGCGCCTGGGTGGCGCAGTCGGTTAAGTGTCCGACTTCAGCCAGGTCACGATCTCGCGGTCCGTGAGTTCGAGCCCCACGTCAGGCTCTGGGCTGATGGCTCAGAGCCTGGAGCCTGTTTCCGATTCTGTGTCTCCCTCTCTCTCTGCCCCTCGCCCGTTCATGCTCTGTCTCTCTCTGTCCCAAAAATAAATAAACGTTGAAAAAAAAAAATTAAAAAAAAAAAAAAAGAATAAAACTAAGGCAGATAACCAGAATAGTCTGCTTTTCCTCAGACCTCTGCCTTATTGGCTATTCTACCTTGTTTTAGTCTATGACTCTATTATATCTCCTTTGAGTCTAAAGTTCATGTTCTTTAAAAAAAATTTTAATGTTTATTTTTGAGAGAGATTGGGAGAGACAGAGCGCAAGCAGGGGAGGGGCAGAGAGAGACGGAGACACAGAATCCGAAGCAGGCTCCACTCTGTCAGCAGAGAGCCCTATGTGGGGCTCAAACTCACGAGCCATGAGAGCATGACCTGAGCCAAAGTCGGACATTTAACAGACTGAGCCACCCAGGCTCCCCTAAAGTTCATCTTCTTAAATATTATGCTGAATGTTTACTTTCTATCTCAGACTAGTGTAGTAATCACCAAAATTATTCCTTTACAGCTAAACTAAAGTGAAATATCTTCAAAGAACCATCCTTTTAACCTAGTAGTAGGGAATGAAGTATTGAGGCAATTTCATTGTTATATCCTCAAAAAAATTATTGTTTTACTCTTGGTATTGAGCTCCCATTATTGAGACAGTTTTGGTTGTTTGGGTGGTATTCATTATTTGAAGATGACTATGCAACTGGTCACCTGTTTTATATATATCAGGATTGTGAACCTGGGAATCTATGTCTTTTGAAGTCAGGCTTTGCTGCTGCTAGTCTTCATTCCTATAGTGTCTGTTTTTAGGTTGAGTGAGCGCCGCCGTAAACGTCTCCAGGAGCTAGAGGGTCAAATAGCTGATCTGAAGAAGAAACTCAATGAACAGTCCAAACTTCTGAAGCTGAAAGAATCCACAGAGCATACCGTTTCCAAACTGAACCAGGAGATACGGGTAATAAATGCTCATCCTTGGGTTTGTTTCATTAAAACTTATAAACATAGGTGTTCCATTTAGAATTATACTACGGAGGCATTGTCAGGTGAGAAAGTAGCAGGCAGGGCCATCATCTGCAAGTGTGTGAATCTCCACAAATGCCCCTTTTACAGGACATTGTGCTGGTAGTCATCTAGAGTCTGAACAATGAAACCCTGCTTTATTTTTATTTTATTTTTTTCAATATCTCCTCTTTTATTTCTTTTTTTTTTTTAATTTATATATGAAATTTATTGTCAAA